GCTCATTCTGTCAACTTAGGCAAATCATGAGAGGGAGGGCAGGAATGGTTGCCTCAGTGCTTAGTTCTTGTGGCCCTTTTTACACACCCTGGGAAATGTGGTTTTGGCTCATTCTGCATCTAGCATTCACCCCATCGTTTTACCAAACCCACACTGGAACAGAAAAAGATGCGGCTCAAAACCACATTCAAATACCCCGGAGCCAACGCCTTGCTGACTGCAGAGTCACCCCTGAACAGTTTGGTGCAGTGGTTAAGTGTGTAAGACGACTGAGGGGTGATATGATCGAGGTTTATAAGATTATGCATGGGAAAGAGCAGGTAGAGAAAGAGGTACTTTTCTCCCTTTCTCACAATACAAGAACTCGTGGGCACTCCATGAAACTGCAGAGCGGTCGGGTTAGAACGGATAAAAGGAAGTACTTCTTCACCCAAAGAGTGATTAACACATGGAATTCACTGCCACAGGAAGTGGTGGCGGCTACAAGCATGGACAGCTTCAAAAGGGAATTAGATAAGCATATGGAGCAGAGGTCCATCAGTGGATATTAGCCACAAGGTATAGATAGGGACTCTGGGGCAAGTGATGCTCTGTCATCTTGGTGCTTGGGGGGGTCAACAGTGGGAGGGCTTCTAATGTCCTGGCCCCACTGCTGGACCTCCTGATGGCACTGGTATTTCTGGCCACTGTGTGACACAGAGTGTTGGACTGGATGGGCCTTTGGCCTGATCCAACATTGGCGTCTCTTATGTTCTTATGTTCTTATGTACCATAAAATCCGTGGATCAAAGGAAGTGAAACCAGCATGCAGTGAGGTGGCTGCAATAAAATCCAAGGATCAAAGAAAGTGAAAGTGGCATGCAATGTAGAGGGGAATTTCTGCTCCAACTTGGGTTCGGTAAAACAGCAGAGCAAATGCTAGGTGCAGAACGGGCTTTTGAGCCGCATCTTTTTCTGATCCAGTGTGAGTTTGGTAAAACAACACAGTGAGTGCTAGATGCAGAATGGGCCACTGTTTCCCCCCTGCAAGAAAACACTACGGCAGGAGAAGCATGCTGTGCGTGGTATTTCCAGGAGAAGAGTGTTGTGCTTAGTATGTCCACTATAAAATCATCAGCGACGCATCACTTTCACAACGGTGTGATAAACCCTGTGAGCGCCCGACTATAAAGCAATGGTTTTTTAGTGAATAAAACAGTGCAAATACTGCGTCAGGTGTAATAACTAGTTCAAAGCAAATCCCACAGGATGAAATAAAGATTACAAAAAACCCCAACAACCCCACAACGGATTTCAGTCCAGTCGTTCACTAGCACACAAGTGTCATTGGCCGAAATCATAATCGCTGTTCCTGTGACCAGGCTGTTACTTGAATGCAGCTGATGTCATCTATTGAAGCAGGAACTCTTTGGCCTAATCCGAAGAGGCAGTTCTTAAACGCAGGAAGTCAGTGCAGGAAATCTTTGGCCTTATCCTCCAGGAACAAAGCGTTGAAGGGCCAAAAAAAAAAAAAGACCAGGAAATAAAGTCAACATCTCCGCTTCGTTTTTTTGAGGCAAGGGCTGGGATGGAGTGAGGGGATTCCACTCCAGTTCCCCAGCTCACACGTGACAGCCACTCTCAGCGTAGGCCCTGGTGAAAGCCCGGAGCTCCACACACTTGTTGCGATTCCTGGTGGACTCGCAGTGTCCAGGAGATGGCAGCTCCTCCACCCACGAGTTCAAATCCAGCAGGTACTGGGGGCTGTAGAAAGGCGGAGTCAGAATGTTAGGAAGCCAGGCATCTCCTTACACACACACCACCCCAATCTCAAATCTACAAGAAACTTAAGGTAGAAACTATATGTTGTCTAAACCAATACTGTATTCTCAAAGCCATGTCTGCTGAGGTAATGTAACATTGAGTGCACCGCAAATGCCCCTCCCGGGCTCTTTTCGTGGCTTCCTTCTGATTCAGGAGCCCAGAGAGGAGTGAAAAAAAGAAGGGGGGGGGGGGGGGGAATGCTGCCGGGGAGAATCTGCAAGAGAACAAAGTACCCAAAGTTTAGGACTGCCCCCCCCCCACATCAGTTCAGGAGCCAACTGCAGATCAGGAGAGAAGCGTTTTAAGGTGTGGAAGAAAGATGGGAGAAAAAGATTAAATCCTTTCTCCCACAGTGACCCTTCCACAGTCTTCAAAGTAGCTGTCTGGGACGGCTGATATTAATAACTGAATAACAGAAGAGATGTAAAAGGCACCGGTAATTCCGCAAGGCTCTGAAAAGCTGCACTGTGGGAAATTTCCTCCTCTATTGAAATACTAAAGCTCCGCTTTCCTTCTTTGCATGAGATCATCCTGTCTTCCTTCCATCTCACACACGCCCCAATAGTAACTGTTGAGCACGATTCCCTGCTTTGACACAGACTGGCTGTCAATGACCCCCAACCAATATTCCCTCTAAGCTGTGGAGTCTTGTGAGCAAAAATTCTACTTTGTGAGCGACTGGCATTAAAGTTGTGAGCGAGCGATTTGGCTGCTGCATAAATTAGTTTGCTCTGGAGCCCTCCTTCCTGCGCTAAGACAAAAAATGTGTGGGCTAGAGGCTAAAAAACTGTGAGCTAGCTCACACTAACTCAACTTAGAGGGAACACTGCCCCCAATCCAAAATTTCTGGCTACCAACCTATCCTCTCTGCCTTTCCACCAGCCGGTTACGCTTCCGACTCCCCCTCCTTCCTTCTCGCCAACCTACCGGCCTTCAGGGTCCCGAGTTTCCCCATCACGTCCCATCAGAAGATATTCATGGCCTTCGGTCAAGCGCGTCCGACAGGCTGCACGGACCACAAAACGCCGGGTCTGGTTAATGGTGGCCCCCACGTCTGCAGCTGTACAGAAAGAGAGAATCAAAAGGTGTGGCTGGCTGTATGTATTAGTGTACACGTATGTTAACTCTGCATTGTTCTTGCTGTCGTGGCAGCCGTATTTCATCCTCATTGTGCCCCATTAGGACTCATCCCGGATCTGTGTTGTCAGCAGAGTTGCCAACCTCCAGGTAGAAGCTGGAGATCTCCCGGAATTACAGCTGATCTCCAGACTACGTCTATTATTTATTTAAAACATTTTTCCCACTTCTCCTGGAGAGAACGGTTGCTTCACTTCCAGGTGACACCATCGTGTCGGGGACTGCACGTCTGGTTTTACCGGAAGTCGTCCAGGATGTGAATGAGGGCCGGAAGCGGGGCGGCCGGAAGCAGGGGGCGGGGCTTCGTCATGTGCCCCGTCCTCCGTACCTCACCTGGGGGAACTGCGATCCCCCGTGATCCCCCCCAAAATGACCTCTGGTAACCCAGTTTGTTAAACCCCCCACCCCACCAATCTCACTTACTGTACTGCAAGGGCTGCAAGATCTTTGCTTCGTAGATGCGGAAGGCACTTGCATCAGTCTCCTTCTCCACTCGAACCCGTAGCCCTGCAGGTGAGAGACACACAGAGAGAGAAGGCGGGCTGTAGCAGCACATGAGAAAGTCGGGAATCTATAAAACAGGATTTGTTCTAAAATGTCCCTTGTTCTGGGTGCATTTTTTTACAATAGTTTTTATTTATTTTTCCATAATAACATTATCTTGAATGTCATGAAGATAAATTAGAGAGGTACTCTATGATAGGAAACCAAGTTGGTACAAACGTGGTGGGAGACACGGATTTATCAAATCGCGTAAGATTGTCCAAGAGTTTAGCCACGATATACAAATCCCACAACTTTTTATGCCATTGTGAAAGTGTGGGTGCCATCGTCATTTTCCAGAGTGAGGCAATTGCCATTTTGGCTGCATAAAGCATTAAGGCAAGTTCTGGGAGCATTTTTAAAAATTTCTTTGGCCGATTATTACTTATTTACTTTATCTTTAGCCCACTTTTATCACTGAGGACTTTTCCAGTCCAGGCTTTTACTCCAGCTTGGCTTCTTAATGACATACGTAGTCGTCGTCCCCACCACCATCCCTTACATATGGTACGACCAATC